CAACGCTCCCCGAATCTTGGCGGCGAGAGCGCGCCGACGCGCCGTGGGCCCGCGTTGGCGCCACTTGGAGTGCGGGCACGCGCTTTGGCACCACGTGGGCTCGCGGGCACGGCCAAGCGTACCCGTGCCCCCGCCCCCGCCCGCGCCCTTGCCTTGCGCTGCACTGCGCCGCGCCGGGCCGTGCCGTGCCATGCCGGGCCGGCGAACATTGACCTTGGCTGCTGGGCGAGACAAAAGGTGTTCTGACACCTTGACCATCGCAACACAACCTGTTACTTCTTGGCCGCGTGGTGCCCCTGCTGCTTTCCCCTAAGACTCGTCCGCGTGCTTACTGACGGTTGTGGCTGTCAACGGCTTTGAAAGTTAGTGGCGGTGGAGGGTCTTTGTGGAGGGTTAAGCAGAGGTGTCCAGAAGATTTGGGAACACTCTACATAATTATTACAACACGCTTTATTTTGTGACGCGACCATTTTATGCAATGAATGCTCTATTATTAAATATTAAGTTTTGTTAGGATACAATGATGGGAAAGGCCTTCTTGTTTTCTGAAACCAAGGGGCCCAGTTTCAATGAAACTGATGTGTGGAATTGAATACGTAGTTTATTTGTACTGAGGTAGTAGATTGTTTCTGTACGATTATCTAACATTTATAAGAGACAAATTAGGAGCTATCGAGAAAATTTACATTAAATTTTATAGATTGCGAATGCATAAGCTGTGGTATTGTGGTGGTTCGTTTAAAAAATTTGTCAATTTTTATATTTTTGAGAACTTAATAAATCTAAATATTGAAAATGATAAAACTATGGCGTGGATGAAAAATACTTGTATTCGAACAGAAACATTATTAAACAAACTACTTTATGTTGTTGTTTTTTGTTTGTTGTTTCGAAACGCCTTCGACATTTCGAAGACGACTTCCAAGTTAACCGTATAATCCTTTTTACAAGAACGACTGGAGAAGTGTGCCTAATACCAGATGCATATGCGCGCGGGCAGGGGATTGTTATGAATAGCGACCGCGCGGTACACCGTTTCTCCGAGCATTCACAAGCGTGCCACCCAAGGTTATCCGGGCGCTTAGGCGCTCACTGACTGACGGGCCTACTCGCTGGTATGCGCGTCCCGCCGGTCGCATATGGACCGCGACCTTGACGTCCTGCGGCGAAACACGGGGTTCTGCCGTTGTCACAATCGCAAATTAGCTCTTTTGTTATGTTAAGGGGAGAGACTCCTAAAAGGTTTTCCCTCTATAGTTTTGCATCCTTTCAATGGTCAACCTTTCTTTACAAATCGCTGAATGAAGATTGTTTTTCTTCAGCATTCTATATTACGGACTCTCTTTACTAGATTCCTTACCCTGTTCATAAAGCTTTTTTCCAATATATTATTATGGGAGACTAAATAATTTGTAATATGTAGTTTCAGAATTTAAACGATAAATTTATTTTGCAACTTCATTTAAATAATTTCGAAATCTTTTCATTACGTATTTATCACATTCTATTTCTATCGCATTTTCTCTAATTATGCTGAACCACCGTAAAAATGTTTGTTATTGTCTGGGCAGGGCATTTTGTCCATTCCCATTGGCTCACACACAAGATGCGCATTGTTGGAAATTTACAATTTCTCACCACTGAGCTGCTAACCCCACCAACTACTTTTGATTCTTATATTCCCCATCTTGGCTAAACACATTTATCCATTTCTTAGTACCCCTTTAGTAGCAGCATGTTTCTTCTTCTCATATTTTTTTGGTTTTTAAATCATGTCCCAACAAAAAGCATTAGCATGCGTTTCATTCAGTGTGCCATGGAGCTCGTATATGAGTGTTGTGCTAACCCACCTTCCTCTGGATTGTTCCAGGATGAGTTCCATCCGTTCATCGAGGCGCTGCTGCCCTACGTCAAGTCCTTCTCCTACACGTGGTTCAACCTGCAAGCAGCCAAGCGCAAGTACTTCAAGAAGCATGAGAAGCGTATGTCGCTGGAGGAGGAGCGGCGATGCAAGGAAGAACTTCAGGTGAGTCGAGGGCTCGCGCCCCGCAGCCGCTGTCAGCCGCGAACACTCGACTGGCCCCGCACATAAAAGCCCGGCGGGACATTACCTCCCGCCAGGTTGCCTAGGTGCTCGGCGAAACTCACGTCGCTAGTCTAAATGTATAGGCACTAAGGAGGCGGACCGCAAACACTCGACTGACCCCGCACATAAAAGCACGGCGGGAAATTACCTCCCGCCAGGTTGCCTAGGTGCTCGGCGAAACTCACGTCGCTAGTCTAAATGTGTAGGCAGTCAGGAGGCGGGACGGGGCCCCGCGCCGCCCGTCCCTAGTTCAGGTGGCTCCCAGTTGGGCTCTTGGCTTCGTCATGGCAGTGGCCCAACACTATAGGCTTAGTGGAGAAACTTGGTGTCCCGGCGCATATGAGTGGCGCGTGGTCATAAAATATTGACTCCGGTACTAGCCTGGATAACTAGGAGCTCTGAGTTCGCAGGGCGGCACGCCCCAGGAATAGTGTGGGGAGGTTACCGTGAGGGCAAACTGGGTTCCGGCCGGATCCGGATTTTAGCCGGCTGCTGGAATTGTGCTGCGGAAAGGGGTGCGAATAGAGGCTAGGCGAATAGAGGCCTAGGTGCCCACCCCGGGGACTTGTGCCCCGTAATAGAACATGGGAAGACAAATACATCGACTCCATCTGGGCTTTATTGGCATTCATCATTCAACTATGAGCAGTAAAATGCTGGGAAAGAGATTCTGGAGCTCAAGAAATCACACATAAATGAAATCGTATCAAATCACTTAATAATTTCATAGATTGTCACTCATTGCCATACCACGCTATGTCATAAACTGCAACTCATTGCAATTCATGACATTAAAGTTTCACATTGTCAACTGACGAACCACTTCAGAACGTCACTTTTGGCCTCGCTGTGCCACTGCAATTCTACATCACGTCACGTCTCGATATTTCAAGACATGCCACGTTGTATATGACATACGTTATTGCTATAATTCGCAATCTAACGTTCGCAACTTGACCCAATGAATTAAGCAAAGTTGTACTTAATGGACTTCGCTCAATGTTGGAGAGGAAGGTAATACTTTCGTTCTTGACTACATTCTATCTCCGTGTAATTTTGACGCTATACCGTGATCTGAATGTCTCCATTATGAACGTTGTTTCTGTGCTATAGAATAGGGCGCTTTATATTTTTCACCTTTTTATTTTCTTTTTCGAAAAAGTTGACTCACACCAAACACCCTTGGAAGTAAACCCGCCACCAGGTTTAGATGCCCTTGGTGTCACAGCGCGCGGCTGGACGCAGTGACTCAAGGCGGCAGACACGGTCGCCCGCGAGGCGCCACCTGCCCGATTGGAGGCTAGTGCTCCACTGACGCTTGGCAATATCTAGCCGTCCTTACAAACCACTCAACCTATTAATGTCACTTGCGGCTTACGCCGGGCATCACAAATTCTCTCTCGCGGGGCAGCCGAAGGAGGTCGACTCATAAAGTCCGTTAATCCACTTCACCTGACACCTGAAGCCGGACAAAAAAAATCCGCGACGCGTTGTGTAAAGAACCGCGCGTCGTAACCCCGAGCGGCGTTGTGGTACGGGCTTGAGAATTCTGAAATATCCCGTAAACGTGCCGTTGCTGGGTGTGAAAAGAGCGATTAAGGCGAGTGGGACGTTCGACTTGGACGTCTTTGCGCTTGAGCAAGAGAATTGACTTTCGTATGCCTTGACTACGCGTTTCTCAGTTTGAAATGTGTGTGCTGGTAACGGCGTTACTGAGGTCGTCTGTAAATGAGGGTTCTCTGGAACGTAATTCATATCACGACAAAGACACGTTCTCGAATAGTGCTTTGGAGGAAAAAGTGACGCATTTCATGGTTTTGGTAATAATAATGATTAGAGAAAATGATGCTAATATTTTTCCAATGAGCAAAAGGTTTTGCTAATAAAATAATTTCAAAAATTATTGAGCGACGATTATAACTCACCAGGTAGGATTATTAAATAAAACAGAAATACAACCATTTATACATAATATCTACATACCAAATGAGTATTTTGTTGTGGAAAATGTTCACAAAAGTGCTCAATTGAATGGTTTTGCAGAATTTTCACAACAAATTAGATTCCAACGATCTATCAATGTTTCAAACCTTTGTGCTTCTTGATTGAACTCTATACCAAACAGATCAGCCAATGGACTCGTGAATTAACCCGATTTGCATGCATTCTACCTCATACAGTTGAACCAAACCGGCCAATGTATTGAAATAGAATATAAAATAAACAAAATTTTGAAGGATAAATTTACAGCTACAAACATTTTATAAAGGCGAGCTGTGGAGAGTGCCTAGGACGTGCGGGTTCTTATAGACTGCGTCCGCTGTCCCAACTCTCCATGTGTAAGCCAAAAACTCATCCTTTAGTAGGAATGATGACATTAATAAAAAGATATGTATTCATAATTTTGTTGCAGTGGAGTTGCTACAATAGATTTCTAGACCTCTTATCCTTCTATAGTCAAAAAATCAATTATTACTTTTCTTTTACATTTAAATACGGTGCTTTGATGTGAACAGACTTAAGGGGTGGATGTGTACATGAAAACACAAATATATTTTATTGTCAAATATGAAGAGTCCATTCAATTATTTTTTCAATTATATAGGATTTTGAGTAAATGAATGAAACTAGTTTTTTAGAATGCATTGGCTTGATCTTTTGGAAAACAATAAACATTTCACATGGTGTCATAGGAAAAGAAGGTACTTATTAACAACATAGAATGTCGAAACATATTTGAAGTACTGCAACAGATGTAATATTATTTCTTTGGAGAAATTAGTGTCGGAGAAACGTGAAGGGTGGCGTACGAGGCACACGTATTACCAAAAGTGGCATACGTTTTAGTAAAATTATATATCGCGAAGTCAAGAATAATGAGTTAATTACGTCAAGACAGAAGGCAACACGATATGGGATTATTATATTATTTTATCACAATAGTCATTTGGTATTTTGAGAAGATATTATTACTACATTGAATTCTAAAGTGCAGTAGTTCTTACATCATGAAAATTGAAATAATCTTATAAGTAACAACGAAAAAGGTTCGTTAAAGGATTTATTGACAAAGCACGTTTTAATGCGAACACATTCTGTTTTCAGGATAATGAAAGAATAAACTGACAATTTGTTCTTCTTAAGAAGTTCGGGAAAACAAAGTCCAAAATAAGTGACGCAAGTTTGAATTGATACAGATCATGTCAGGCTATGCGTCTATAAATGTTCGCAGATGCTTAAGAATGAAAGATGAGAATAGTGTTAATATATTTTATTCTCTTTCTCAACGTACCGCCGATTCACGTGCAATGTGACGATTCCAAAACTTGTCATTTTGCAGGACAACGATATTAACAGTTTGTTTGGCGTCTGATGTGCTGTACATTACACTCGTAGCATCTATTCAGGAAGTCAAGATTATGTTTAAATGCGAAGTTTGTGAATTACAGAATACTCTATTGTGATGAATCCTGAATTGAACCCATTATTGAAGTCCTGTTGACAGAGTGAGACTGCAAAACGAAAGATCATCACTCTTACCCCCCTTTTTTGTCCTCTAATTGTCGAGCTAAACGTTGTTCAGAAACCGCACGACCCTGTTGTAGCAGAAGCTGCCATTAACGTTCCACTCAACCTTTCGCGTCACCTTCTCTGGGGCGTCGAGTGTAGTCCCGCTCCGTGTAGGATCCGCGCGGGCCACAATCCGGCCGCGCTCAAGAATGCAGAGCCGCCTGATTCCGGCCAAGTTCGCCCTACGACCTTGTCTCCGCGCGGGGACAATATGGAGTCTGTCTCATTCCGCGTGCCGATTGTTTGCACCAGCCGGCACCGGTACGTTGTCCCGC